CTGATAATGTGTCTGATTTCAATGAGGAACTTTCATGAGGTACTTTTCATTGACTGTTTATGGTTGAATGTCGGCGTGTAGAGGGTAGAACCTGAGGCGGGACCTCGTGCGCAAACTCTGACGTGCGGCTGTGATTTATAAAGGAAAGATGTGCAGAAACGTGCGTACGTACGGTTTTATAAATCTGATTTTTCTTTTTGCATACGCCATTTCCGCCTTTTGGCCATAGGTTCACTTTTAGTATGGTTTCCGCGCAATCCTTTATAAATGAGACCCCTGGTCCTGGAGGACCACCATCCTTCAGGTTTTACTTGTGTCCTGCTCCAACAGAATGAATTACCTCTTCATCTTCTGCAGAATCCTGTTAATCACCCACTCATTAAAATCAGGTGTGTTGGAGCAGAAAAGCCTATAAAACATGCAGGATGGTGGTCYTCCAGGACGTCCTGTGTTTGGGGCTGTCCAAACACATTCTGACCGAAAAACCCATTTTAACTACAGCTCTGAACAACAAATATTTGGCAGAACAGCACAGGAAATAATATCAAACTGTTTCTTTAAAATCTGGAGCTCCCTATTGATACAAAACAAGTGCAACTCATTCGCATCAGCTGAACCTTGACAATACGTAGAGAATCACCAATCTGAGGAAATCCTTTCAAGTGAACCTTTAGAGTCAACAAATAGATAAAGCACAGAAATGCCACAAAATTAACATTTTTCTACATTCTAAACTCCTGGAGATCCATTCGTTCATTCATTACTTTCAGCTCTTTCTGGAGGCAGCAGTTTGATCAGAGAGGGTAAGACCTCTTTTTCCACRGCCACCTCTGCCAGCACTTCTGGGAGGATGTTCCCAGTCYTCCTGTGGGTCTCCTCCYAGTTGGACATGTCTGGAAAACCTCCCTAGGGTGGCGTCCAGGAGGAACCACCTCAACTGGCTCCTCTCAMTGTGGAGGAGCAGCGGCTCTGCTACAAGTGCAAAATTGTATTGTTCATGATTAATTGTCAGAAAAACTGTCACATTAACCACTTTGTGATTAGTGCCGTGTGACAATGACGATGTTTTGTGTGCTCCGCACTAGTAATGCGCGATATAAACGATATACGGTAGAAACGATATAAATTTGTCCTATGATAGAGATCTGTAGTCTACCGATTCTATCTAATTCTTTTTGATGATGTAACCGGCTGGAGTCAAAACAGAGGAAGTGGGAAGCAGCCTGACTGAGAGCGCAAATGAAGAGGGGAAAAAAACATAACTTATCCGGACCTGGTTCAGGTGTGCGAAAATGAACACCGAACTGTTTACATGTTTACGTGACGGCGCGTCCTCCACACTGCCTGCTGCRGGAGGAGCGCGCGCCGCGGCACATGGTGACGCAGCGAGGCGACAGTCAGTGCAGGTGAAGTAGTGCTCCAGGACTCACAAAAGCTCACTGAGTCTGRACCTTGTTTCTCCTGCGGTCATAGCGCGACGCCGCACGGCCGAATGCGCGCGCACTCCAATGCGCGACTATAAAACTCAGCCTTTACTATCACCTTGTACAGTGGGGAAGCACTGTGGGAAAGGGTGACAGTCAGACTGTCTTTCCAAAAAAGAAAAAAAAAAGTAAAGCATAAACATGATGATTGTCACCCCGCTGGAGCGCGTAGATTAAACAGGTGGAGTGCAGAAAAAATAATCTGCAAATTGTATAGAAAGGAATAAATACAAGCAATTTGTTTTACCACCTTAAAACGAAGCAGGTGATTCCAAACACAACATCCAATGGATGCCGATATCTATTACATTAAAGTTACTGTGTGTGTTTATATATATATTATATTTATATTTGATTTAACCAGGTAGATCTCCCTTAAATTTAGATTTTTATGGGAGACTTTATAG